ATGGGGCAGCTGTTAGGAATAACAAGATTACCTAACGTAGTTTGGGTAAAATAATATATATAAACTATGATAGTAAGTTTAAGTGTGTGTCACTTTAAACTGCAAAGCATGTAATTTTGGGTGCGGTTGTGAACCGCCATAAGAGGGAGCAAGAGAACCTGACAATTTGCTGACGATTCCTGATGATTGCTGGTTTGATGGATTGATGGTTTGTTAACTGCGTGTTTTCCCTACTGCTGAGTTGCTGGAGGAAGAAAGGAGGTTTGACTTCTTCATATCTCTACTGCGAGGAGATATATTACTGGACTGATATTTGTAAGTTTACTGACCTCTTTTTCGACACTGGAATTTGCAACTGAATAATCCCCGGACGGACTGAATTAGTGAATGATATATGGACTGTTTGACTATGCTAAAACTCTTGCTGGAATAAACTATTTAACTAGCACTATGAATCTGTTTTACTGAGTGTAAGCTACAAAACGTTTATGTCACATATTTTGCCTGCCTGCCTTACAGATTCTGCTAGGGTGTATCCCTAACAGCAGCCTTCAAGCTTCTAAGTGAAATATGGCTCCCCAAGCTGACACAATCATTTCCCCATGCCAGCCCCACCCCGTGGCCCTACAATCCATCCATCCCTGGAGATGACAACTGAGTATCAGATCAAGGTTATCTTGAATGGCAAACAGGACCGCAAATTCTAAAGAAAGGGGAACTACATTGGCACAGGTGCCAATGACAGCTCGTTGTTGGGTTCCCTCCCCCCACAAAATGGATGGGTTGGCATGTCCGAAGCACAAAAATCCAGCTGAAAGCCCCGTCTATAGATGTTTGACCACCAAGAAAGGCCATTCGGAGATTATTGCAGAAATCCTGAACTATCAGTTCCACAGTCTGGAAGATAATGTGAGTGTTAAGTAGGTTCCCATTTTGATGTTATCTGGAAAAGATTTCCTTTTCTTCCTCATACTTGGAGTGTATTTTTATTATACTGGGAAGCAATTTTTCACTTACGGGAAGCTGGGTGGAATGGGAATATGTCCAATCTTTGTATGGATCCCATTGCAAAGATGGTGTTAGTGTCCCAACGAAATTAATCAGATAACAGATAATCAGAATTGGAAGTGACCTTGTAGGTCATCTAGTCCAACCCACTGCTCAAGTAGGAGATCCTTCACCATTTCTGACAGATGGGAGTCCATTCTCTTCTTGAAGGTCTCAAATGACTTCCGAGGGCAACTTCTGTTCCATTGGTTGATTGTTCTCACTGTCAGAAAGTTTCTCCTTATTTCCAGGTTGAATCACTCCTTTGATCAGTTTCCATCCATTATTCCTTGTCTGCCCTTTGGGTGATTTGGGAAATAGCTTGACCCCCTTCCTCCTCTCTGTGGCAGCCCCTCAAACATTGGAAGACTGCTATCATGTCTCCCCTGGTCCTTCTCTTCCCTAGACTAGCCAAGCCCAGTTCCTGCAACCGTTCATTGTATGTTTTAGCCTCCAGTCCCCTAATCATCCTGGTTGCTCTTCTATGCACTTTTTCTAGAGTCTGAACATCTTTTTTATAATGTGGTGACCAAAGCTGGATGCAGTGTTCTAGGTGTGGCCTTACTAAGGCTTTATAGAGGGGTATTAGTACCTCCCTTGATCTGGATTGTATCCCTCTGTTAATGCAGTTTAGGATTGCATTAGCTTTTTTGGCTGCTGCTGCACACAGCTGGCTCCTATTTAGCTGGTTGTCCACTAAGACTCCAAGATCCCTCTCACAGTTCCTGCTATTAAGCCTGGTTTCACTCCAGTCTACATGTGTACTTTGGGTTTTTCTTGCTGAAGTGTAGGATTTTATTTTTCTCTATCCTGAATTTCATTTTGTTAGAATCGTCTTCCCTCTGCAAGTCACCATCAGCCTTCAACTCAAAACCATGGATTGGACTGCAAGCCATGATTATATAGCCATCATTAGATACAGTGGTGGAATTCAAAATATTTTATTACCAGTTCTGTGGGTGTGCGCAGAGCACTCTAGGACGGGCAATTTTAAGCATGAAAACTTACTTACCGTCTGTGCTGGTGAGTAAAATAGCTGAGGCACAGATATCCGCTCTTCCGCACCTATCAGCTGAGCTACAAACAGAAGAAATATAGGACAGGAAAGGGCAGAGCCGGGTGGGCGGGGCCAAGTGCTGACTGGAACTACCGGATCGCTAGAACCAGTGCAAACCGCCGGCATACCGCTACTGATTGACAGCCTAATCAAGGATCCCCCAAGAAGACTTCCATCCACATTGACAAGCCAAAGCACTAGTATGCGAACAGAGAACAAACACCATTTTTTGCTAGCACTGATGGCGTTGCCTAATTGGGTCTACTGTTTTTCCCCCAATTGTTTGTTCCTTCCAATCTTGAAGACTCTAAAGTTTCTTAACTCTGAAGAAGGCAAGATTCATGAGATGTTAAATTAAGCTATTTTGAAGATCTCTAATATCGATTAAGTGGATGTTCTAAAGATCAGGTATATTGGTTTATTGTCCTTATCAAAGGCTCTGTTGCTGCTTTAAAACAAAAGTACCTTCCAATAAAGGAGAAGGATTGTAGCTCAGGGTTGAAATAAGGGATCCTTTGGTTCTAAGCTTGGTGGGTTTTATGCAGATGTTTCATTATCAAACAGGTAACATCATCGGTGCTAGAAGGGAGGAGGAGGAGGAGGAGGAGGAGGAGGAGGAGGAGGAGGAGGAGGAGGAATGTGGGGTCCTTGATGCTCTCTGGCCTTGACTGTTTTCTTGCAGACATTTCATGACCCAATTAGGTAGCATCATCAGTGCTGAGTGCCATTCGCTCTTAATTTATATCCTAGTAATTCGCCTTTTTCAATGTTGGCGGGAGCGGCCTTGGAGGTTGTTTGGTTGGACTGTTTACTGTTGACCTGTTTGGCAATTCCTTGATTGGGGTATTGTTTACTTCTTGAGTGTTGATCTGATATTAATCATGGAATTAATCTACGCTCACTTGGGTGTTGTTTGATGGCAGGTTTTAGTCTTGTTGGCTTGTTGGTTGTGTCATTTGCACAGCATATGAATGTTGTTTATGTCTTTGTATCTATTGCTGGAATTCTGAATGGTTGGGCTTCAAAAAAATGTGGACGATATAGTGTGGTTGGTCAATTTTTTTGCATTATCAGTGGACAATGTTTATGCTAAGACCTCCACACAATTCATATGAACTCTCACACGCAACTTCACACACTTATCCCTCCCCCCAGTTCAGCCTCCCCCTGAATCCTGTGTAATCCATTTTGCCTCCTCCAACTGAAAATCAATCACAACAGCAGGCTCAGAAAGTTTTGCAAAATATATTTTAAGTCAATCAAACAGACCAAAAAATGAACATATTTGTTTTTGCACACAAGGGTTCCTGTTAACTGCTTTTTTCCCATCCAGAAAATATAATCTTATATTTTCTTATATAATCTTATATTATAACCTTATCTATATCGTATATAATTTGGCCCTATAGGAAACCCATTACAAAGAGAGCAGACTTTAAAATTCAGACATGGAATTATTTTAGCAGTAATTTTGAAATGATGGACCTAACCTGGAAGACTCCGAATAATTAAATGGAAGGTAGTTTGGTAGTGGTTTCGATAAAAAATAAATTTCTATTTTTAATCCTTGGTGGTCTTTATAGAGTGGTCTTCTCTTATCTCACAGCAAGCGGGGAATTCTGGGAGTTGAAATCCAGAACATGCTGAGTTTGAAAATCACTGCGAGAAACTGGATTACAGTCTGGAAACATTCAAAGTTGTACAAAATTGTTGGAAAAGGCTGGATGCATTTGTAAATCCTGTTTGGTTGGTATACAACAACATTTCTCAATTTTGGTCACTTTTAAGCTTTGTGGACTTCAACCCCTTCCGGCTGGGGGATTCTAGGAGTTGAAGTCCACACGGCTTAAACTGACCAAAGTTAAGAAACACTGCTAATAAGTTACATACAGATGCTACATTTAAAGACAATTATTTTCCAGAAGGAACTTTTGAGGCAATTTCGCCAAATTCCCCAAATTTGGATCCCCAAATCTATCTTTGTCTCTCATCCTCAAGCAGATTTTTAAAAAAATATACGCAAGATTTAACACAATTTCTCCTGTTCCTCCTCAAAATAGACTAAAAATTAAATTCTTGGGTGGAGCCAGTGGGGCCTGGTCCTTTCCTATGTCTCTACTTTAATTTGTCTTCTCTACTTTTGAGGTGGAGATAAAGTAATTAAATTAAATTCAGACTCCTAGCTCGGAAGAGGAAACAAATTCTTTAAGAAGAAAGCCCTTTTTTATAGAAATTGTCACAAGTATCCCTTCGAGGCAATGTCGATATCTAACCGTTGGCCATCGGAGTCGAAGTCCAACCTTCATTGGTCCACGGAAATTGTCTCGTTTGCTGTCCAATCTCCAAGCTCCATCCCAGCTTCACTTCTTGCACGGATTCGATTTCTTCTAGAAAATCAGAAGACTATCAAAGAAACTTGAAGGTCTCTTTTGGTCGCCTTGTTGCTGTGTCCACAAAGCTCTCCAAGATCAGCCAGCCGGATTGTCTCTCTGCAATTTCTTTTAAATCATTGTCTTCCTTTTTTTTTTTAGGCCTTTCTCTCCACTGCTCTTTGCTAAGAAAATAATTAACGATATTATGGAATCCAGGTGTCCATCTTTATCAAAAGCCAGGCAAGTCTCCAATGGGAAGTCAAGAATAAACCGTCATACCTGGCTTGGCCGAAGTCCCACCAGGTCCTTGGCTCTGATCTAAAGAGTTCAAAATGAGGAGGACCAAGTTGGCCAAAATCCCAGCATGCATCTCACCGTTTGTCCCTACGGTTAAGGAAGAAGTCCGAGACCAGCCAAAGTCCCATCACACACTAGAAGTTTGAAAGTAGCAGAAGGTATGGATGGGAAGGGATGCATCCCTTTGGATTATTATGGGATGGTTCCCTGCCCAGGTGTGGATTTGTCCCATTCTGGCATATTTGCCCAAAGACCTTCAGCAGAAAACTCCTGGGAGTTGGTTGACCTGGTTAAAGAAGAGTAATGAAGGGTTATGTTTTTTTAAAAAAATCTTTCTGATGTCCCTGTCAACTCATAAAATACTTCTCTGGCCATTTTAGAGTTGCCAACAGAAAGGGAGGGGGGAGCAGTGCAGTCCCTTGCAAAACCGAAACTGCATTCCACAAATGTTTTCAAAGATGGTAACTGGGTGACTGAAGTTTCTGCCAAGCAAAGATCTAACTGGAGAACATGATTGATGACTCTAATATAGTATAATATAACAATTTAATAGTATAGTTTAGCACAGTATCATCTAATGTAGTATAATCTAATATAGTATACTATACTATACCAGTGCTGGCGGTCCTTTTCGACACTGAATGCTGAAATGGGAATGTGTGTGCGTGGGAGCTCCTCAGTACGGGGCGTGGGAGTGCCGGAAAACGGAAGAGCGTGTGTGTGTGCTGGGCATGAGCATGTGTGCTGGCCACCTGGTCTTCCGGTTCCTGGCGTGCGTGCACATGCAAAGACCAGCTGACCAGCATGCATGCGCACGCCAGAGTCGGAACCTCAGCTTGCACACTGGGAGTGCTCTCTCAGTTTCCACAGCCGAATGCCATAGGTTCGCCATTACGGTACTATACTGTATTTTACTATAGTACAGTAAATAAAATAAAGCATAGCCTAGCACGGTATAGTATTACATAACGTAACGTAACATAACAAGACGTAACAATATAGAGTCTTCACTTCATGACAAAGAAAGGGAAGGATCTCTGATCCCCGCCGCTTCGAAAGAAAGACTAACGGATGCAGCCACAGTGCAAGCTTGATCCCATCGCAGCCTCACCTCCATCCCAACCGATGTCATGCAGCGGTCTTCCTCCCAGATTACATTTTCTGTCCTGGACGGGCTTTCTGTAACTTCTGCTTCCGATCCTCAGGAATTTCATCCATGCTGATCCCGTGGCTGCTCGCCCTGAAGGAAAGAGAGCAAACCACGAAAGGTCTGGACTAGACAGAAGCAGGACCAGAATGGGGAAGGGCTTGGGAGGCTGAAAACCTTCTAGAGAACATTGAAAGAAACCAGGTGAGTCCAGTCTAAAGAAGAATGGTTGAGGGAAGACACGTTACCAGGGGTGGGATTCTACCGGTTCGGCCCGTTTCAGGTGAACCGATAGCTCCAAGGATCAGCTGAGAGCGAACTGGTTGGGTTTGCTCCCACGATCAGCTGTTGGGCCCGCCTGCCTGCCTGGACTGTAGGCCTATGCTTTTATACCCTGTTTTTCAAGCTCAGCTGATTCGTGTGGCACAGTGGGTTGCCGCGTGTCAGCTGTTTAAGAGACAGGGGTTGTTGGAGGTCAGTAGCAAACGCTCGGCACACATACGTGCACAAAGCACGTGCTCACCGAATGGGTTGTTTCGCTGGTTGAATCGCACCCCTGCACGTTACCCAGCTTCCAATGCCTGAAGGGATATCCATAAAGGTGTGTATTGAGTCACCCAGGTGTCCACGGAAGAGATGGAACACAAACTAGAAATGGACAAAGTCTAACCAAGTCCACTTGCCTTCTGAAAAAGCACCTTGGGGACAACCCTGAACTGAATAATGGGGAATCTGCACAGACAACAGCAGCAACAAAAAAAAAAATGGACATTGTAGAGATCCAAACTCAAAACAAGGGGGCATTTCAGGACTCTGAAGCAGTGGAACAGCCTCCCTCTTGGAGGCTCCATGGCTGGAGGGAGGCTCAGTAGTGGGTCAGACTAGATGGGTCAAGGTCTCTTCCATTTCTTGATTCTAGGAGTCCGTACCTCTTTTTGAGCCCTAAACTCTTTTAACGACCCCATAATCCCTTGCAGGGTGGGACTCTGAGCAACGGAATGGAGAGCTGAGTGTTTACTGGCCGGATGCCCTTTCCTGTCACCGATGCGGAGTTTTGTTCAGCAGATACATTCTCAGAGAAATATCTGCCTCTGCCTAGGATCGAACTCACAGCCTCCTGATTGTGAGGCGAGAGCTCCACCTCCAGGCTACTGTACCTCTCAAGTTGTAGAGGGAGCTCTATCTAATAGAAGAACGGAATGGCACCTTGGAGGTCTTCTAGTCGAGCCTCCTGTTCAAGCGGGAGATCTTAGACTATTCCAGAAGACTAGAAGACCACCAAGGTCCCTTTCCAGGTCTATTCTGATTATATTACATATTTGTCTCAAATGGTCTCCTGCCTAAGCCGGGGGTTGGACTAGAAGACCTCTAAGGCCCCTTTCCAGCTCTATTCTGACCGATTGCCCCAGTCACTGCCCCAACTCTTGGTGAAACCAGATCCTTTTCGAAAGGAGGTGCCCTCTCACCCCGGCTTCAGGTCTGGGGGAGTAGGAATAGGTTTGGTGAAGCCGTCGCGACCGATGAGCCAATAAGTGTCTTCCGTGCCTTTTCCCTAAAGAGGAAGCGAGATGCATCCGATCAAGGTAAAATTAAACATTGCTGATTTCTTTCCCACCCCACCCCAACCTCATTGGTTTCCCCCTGTTTCAGCAACCTCTTGTAATTTATTTTTAGCCATTTCTCCAAAGTTTGCCCACAGGTCCGCAGGCACGTTCCTTAATTATTATTATTATTATTATTTTTGTTCCTTATAGAAGATAATATAGAAGAGGATAGTTGTAGCTCAGGGTGAACGGTGGGGGTCTTTAACGCTCTCTGAGCTAGCTGGCTTTCTTGGAGACATTTTGCGACCCGGCTAGAGAACATCGTCAGTGCTAGAAGGGAGTGAGGTTTGTAGAGAAGATGAGGAGGAGGAAGAGCAAGAGGAGGAGGAGAAAGAGGAAGAAAAAGAGGAGGAAGAGGAAGAGGACTGTGGGGTTCTTGGCGCTCTTTGAAATGGATGGCTGTCTTGCAGACATTTCATGACCCAACTAGGGAACATCATCAGAGCTAGAAGGGTTTGCTCCAGTGGTAGAATTCAATTTTTTTTTTTTACTACCAGTTCTGTGGGTGTGGCTTGGTGGGCGTGACAGGGGAAGGATACAGCAAAATCTCCAATCAGAGGGGGTATTTGCCGGTTCTCCGAACTACTCAAAATTTCCGCGACCGGTTCTCTAGAACTGATCAGAACCTGCTGAATACCACCTCTCGTTTGCTCTCTATTATGGGGATGTTCTTCATGGTCCATTGAATAGATTGTTGTTTATCATTTCATTGATTGTCTGAGTTGGTTGTTCCTTAACTGGGGTGTTCTTTATGGCTTCGTCCTGCTGTTAAACTCCTCCTCCCCCTTCCCTCTTCCTCCTTCTCCTCCCCCTTCCTCCTCCTGCTCCTCCTCCTCCTCCCCTTCACCTTCTTCCACTTTGCAAACCCCACTCCTTTCTAGCACTGATGATGTTACCTGGTTAGGTAATGAAATGTCTAAATGCAAACAGCCAAGCTCAGAGAGCACCAAGAACCCCACAGTCCTCCTCTTCCTCCTCCTCCACTTCATCTTCTTCCACTCTCCAAATCAGGGGTGGGATTCTACCCGTTCGCACCTATTCGCTAGAACCGGTTGTTAACATTCTAAGCAGTTGGGAGAACCGGATGTTAGAAGAAATTACAGGGCTAATCCTGTAAGGGAGGCAGGAAGGAAACATTCTGGTGTTGCTTACAGAAACTGCCTCTCCATTCACCCTTATTGCATTCTTGGCAGGACTAGACTTCCTGTCTCAGGAACTTCTCTGGAGTTTTCTTCCCCTCCTTTGCTGGTACTTTGCTTGGGTAGAGTGACCATTCAAAGTTACAATGGCACTGAAAAAAGTGACTTATGACCATTTTTCACACTTACGACTGTTGCAGCATCCCACAGGGGCCAGGCGAGGAGATGCGTGCCTCGATGTGAGTGATGTTGAGTTGGCCACGCCCAGCCAATAACATGACCACCAAGCCATGTCCACCCAGTCACATGACCACCAAGCCACGCCCACTAACTAAGCCATAACCACAGAACCGGTTGTTAAAAAAATTGAATCCCACTCCTGCTCCAAACCCCACTCCTTTCTAGCACTGATGATGTTACCTAGTTGGATCATGAAACATCTACAAGAAAACTACCAAGGCTCAGAGAGCACCAAGGATCTCTTAGCCCTTGTTTTTGTGTTTTTGGTCTGGTACACAATGTGTTTCTTAGCAAATTTTCATCTTTTTCTCACTCTCTCTTTCTCTATCTGAATTATTGCTTAATGTATGCATTTGAAATGCAATTTTGTGATACCTTCAGCTCTGTCTTCCCCCGTAAGTCGAGCTTGTAACCTTCTTTGAGGGCGTGCAGGATCTCCACTGTCCGCAGGTTGACGTGAATTCGATAAGCTGCAAAAATGACACAACACCAACACATCCTTGGAAAAACATGCCCAGTTTAAGGTGAACCTCAACCCAGATGGGGTTTAGATGGGGGTTCGGCAAAACCACAACTGCCAGGGTGGTACGAGGTGGTTCAGAAAAAAATTGTGATGGTGGCTGCAGGGTACCACATTAAAAGAAGCAGGGCTTCCATTGTGCGGTCACAACCATCTTGTTGTGAGTTTTGGCACTCTCCCACAGACTCCCCTTGTCAGCTTTGAACAACCAGATCTACGTGTGTAGATTTCAAACTAGCTACTTCATTGTTCTCTGCCTATAGTACAGGAATCTTCCCAGAATGTCTGCCTGGGAGAGACTACCGTGTTTCCCCAAAAATAAGACACTGTCTTATTTTTTCCCCCACCAAAAATGGCTCCAGGTCTTATCTGGGGGAAAAGTCATCCACTGACTCACCTCACTTGAGTGTGTCACCCCCAGCCTCCTTTTCACTGTCAGAGGCCTTCAGAAACTTATTCTTCTGCAGCCGGTAAGGTTTTTCTGAAGGCCTTAGCAGCCGATAACAGAGTTCTGGATCGATCTGGAGATTTGTTCTCAGATCCAGAGGCCTTCAGGAAAGCCTTGCCAACCTTGCTGGCTGCAGAAGAAATGGGCCGGCCAGGCAGGTGTCAGGGTGTGCGAGGCCTGGCTACAACTGTCCAAAGGTAAGTAATAGGGCAGATTCCCCCATCCCCGCTCTAGTTTAATTTTTACCCATGCACTCAAGTGGGTGGGATTTAATTAGGGCTTATTTTGGGTGTAGGGCTTATATTGGGTACAAGTGTAAAAAAATCAAGCTAGGACTTTACTTTCGGGGTAGGCCGCATTTTGGGGGAAACAGGGTAGGTAAGACTTAGAATTTAGAATTCAAGGCTCTTGGGACAGATCCAGCCCGCAGGGTGCTTAGATCTGGCCTACGGGGCTGCCCTGAAAAGAGCAAAGGATTGGTCCATAGTGCATCTGCCAGCAAAAACGGAGTTTGGAAGGCCGCACACACTCCTCCCGAGCTCCGTTTCCACTGGCAGAGCACTTGAGTCACAACAAGTGTCCCCTGACACGAGTGTTGTCGAGCTAGCCGCCTGGTCCCCAAGGCCAACCCAACCATGGCGTGGTCCTCAATGAAATCAAGTTTGACACCCCCTACGCTAGAAAGATTTTGAAAACTCCTCCCAGAGGGGAGACACAGAAACAGGCCGTAAAGTGGGTGTGTGGGGTTTCTAACAAGGCTTTGAGCTTTAAGCACATAGTGCTTATCAGCAGCATCTTGAATAATGGGAAGTGAGACTATAATCATCTCCGCTGTCCTCACCACTCTCTGTAGGGACTTTCTATCGACTGTCCTCACCACTCTCTATATGGGACTTTCTATCTGAGGCACTGCGGCCACCAAACCAAACAGAGATGCAGTTGAGCTTTTTATAATAAGACTCAAATTATCATGAAGTGCTTTGAGAAATTGGTCTGCCAGCACATCATTTCTGGTCTTCCACAAAGATTTGATAAACACCAGTTTGCATACAGACAAAATAGATCTACAGAGGATGCTATAACCATCACTCTTCACACTGCTCAGACTCATCTAGAACAGAGGGGGCGCTACGTGAGGAGGCTTTTTGTGGATTTTAGTTCTGCGTTTAACACAATTCTTCCATGTAGACTAGTGTCTAAGCTTCTGGACCTTGGGCTGTCTCATTCAATCTGCCTTTGGAGTATGGGTTTCCTGTCTGGCCTCTCACAGGGGGTCAGATTAGGTAATCATATCTCTTCAGCCCTTAATCTTAACACTGGTACACCACAGGGTTGCGTGTTGAGTTTCTTACTCTGTACTCTTTATGGGCATGACTGCATTCCCGCTCACGCTAGTAATACTATTGCTAAATTTGCAGATGATACAACAGTGGTGGGACTCATCTCCGGGGGCGTGGATGAGTCTGCCTACCGAGATGAGGTGGACCAATGGTTGCTTTCGTGGTGTGGAGACAACGACTTGGTCCTCAGCACCAATAAGACCAAGGAGCTGATAGTGGACTATAGAAGGAACAGATCAGACATCCAGCCCTTGCTTATTAATGAAGACTGAGGGGAGCAAGTGGCCAGTTTTAAGTTTCTGGGTGTTACCCTAAAAGAGGACCTGACCTGAGGTGCCCACATTGCAGCCCTGGTCAAAAGGGCCCAGCAGAGATTATACTACCTGAGGCTTCTCAGAAAACAACAACTGAATGAGAAACTGCTGGTGACCTTCTACCGCTGCACCATAGAGAACATTTTAACATACTGCACCTCTGTATGGTTTGCCAATTGCACAGGAGCAGATAGGAAAGCACTCCAGAGGGTTAATATCATTGCCCAGAAGATCATGGGTTGCCCTCTCCCCTCTTCAGAAGAGCTTTATAGCTCCCGCTGCCTTAAGAAAGTTCAAAACATTCTCAAAGATCCATCTCATCCTGGGACCCCTTTTTTGAACTATTACCATCTGGCAGACAGTACAGGACAATAAAAACAAGGACAAATAGGCTGAAAAACAGCTTCTATCCCAGGACAGAAGCTCTTTTGAATTCTGCTGTGTAGTGCAGTGTTGGTGTGGTGTTGGGGGTTTCTGGTTCGATGTGTGAAGGGTGAAGGATGTGTGTTTGTGTTTATTTTCATGGTCATGATGTGCACTGAAGATGGTGCTTGATTTCGTTGTACGAGATGCAATGACAATAAAGTAAACTAAAACAAAGGCATTCAGAAGAATTTGTTTGTTTATATTTGTTTTTAAAAACCAATAAAATTAAAAAAAAAAGAAAAGGTTCAGCAGAAGAGAACAAGCAGAGAATTAGTCTGGACTCATTAAGTAAACTGTTGTGGCCTGTCGGCCACTGGTCCCTCCGGCAACTGAATCAGATGAGGAGACAGCATGGGACTCAGGGCGAGCATCAAGGCAAACTGAGTCCTCCAAGGGGGAAGAGGGAATGAAGCTGTCAGAGAGAGAGAGAGACAGAGGCGGATGGAGAGCCAACAGCCCCCAAGTCTGGAGGTGGCTGGTGAGGAAGAGGAGGAACAGCTGGGTACAGTGCCTGACCTGCAGATGCACAGAAGGCTGAGGAGAGGAGAGGAGTGGAAATCTATGGGCTGGTCCTTGGGATGCAAGAGTCACCGCTGCTAGCGAAGCCCCACCCTGGCTCTGGGGATAAAAGGCAGGGGGCAAAGATGAATAGATGTGACAGACAACTATTTATCTCCCTGCCGGACAGACTTGTTAGCCTGAGGTGAGAGAGAAATGTTTTGTCAAGGCTGCTGGGGCTCCCAATAAAGGAATCTTTAACTTCAACCAGTGGTCGTGTTTGGGAGCTGGATCAGAACATAAACACAAGAGGACTAATTCCCTGCTTTGGACAGCACAGTTTTTTTGTCTGCAGAGAGAGTTGTAGATCATCATCTCCTTCACTTCACCTGCAGGAGTGTTGGCGAGCCAGTCAGGAGGAGAGATCAAACAGGGAATTAGCCTGGACTCATTGAGTAAACACAAGAGGGCTCATTGCTTGCTTGATCTCTCCTCTTGATTGGCTCCCCAACACTCCTGGGGGAGATGCAAAGAGCATAACAATCTATATCTCTCTCTCTTTCTCTTTGCAGACGAACAAACTGTCTTGTCCACGGCAGAAGATTGCATCTGGATTTGCAAAACTTGTTCACCCGATGTTCCCTAGGTGGGTTTTCCCTCCGGACACTTGGCCATTGGAGCTCCTTCCAACCCAAGGTGTCTGCTACGTCTATTCATTTCCGCCCCTTATCTTTTATCCCCAGAGCTAGGGTGGGGCTTTGCTAGTAGCTGTGGCTCTTCCACCCCAAGGACCAGCCCATAGATTTCTACTGCTCTCCTCTCCTCTGCCTTCTGTGCACCTATGTGTCAGGCACTGGATCCAGCTGTTCCTCCTCTTCCTCATCAGCCACCTCTAAACCTGAGGGCTGTTGACTCTGCAATGGAGGGCTGATGGACAGCCCTTGGAACTCCTGTCCTGAGGACCAGCCCATAGATTTCCATTGCTCTCCTCTCCTCTGCCTTCTGTATGTCAGGCACTGGATGAAGCTGTTCCTCATCAGCCACCTCCAAACCTGGTGGCTGTTGACTCCGCCTCCTCCATCTCTTCCTCCTCTGATTCGCCTGCTGGAGGAGCCAGCGGCCAACAGGCCACAACCCAAGGATGCATTACTCACGAAGGCCGGTGGACTCCATCCGCGAGGCAGTGTTGACCGTGTCCCCAAAGAGACAGTAGCGTGGCATCGTCAGCCCTACGACGCCAGCCACACAGGGCCCTGTCAAAGACATCGGACAAATTCAGTTCTTAAACATCAGGAGCAAGTTTCAACTGCTTTTTGGCACGCAACCTATTTTTAAGGAAGGGAAAGGCACAGAGATACCATAAAAAGACACCCTTCGGCCTTGCCACCCCCATCCTGGTGACCTACCGGAGTGCAGGCCGATGCGTATCCGGACAGGTACTTCGGGCATATGGCGCATCTTGAAAGTACCAACCGCGCTGAGGATATCGAGGGACATGTTGGCTATCTCTCCCGCATGTCGCTTCCCGTTCCGTTTCGGCAGCCCAGAAGCTACCATGTAGGCGTCGCCAATGGTCTCCACCTGTCAATCAAGAACAGGAGCGGTGAAAACAGCCGAAAGGTCTCAGGAAAAGGGGGGGGACTTGGCTTAGCTCCAGAAGAGAGGTGGGAAGGGAAGCATCGGGTATTGGCACTCAAATCATGTTGCAGATGCAGAATGAACCCAGATTTTGGCATTTCGTGGAAATTTCTGGAAATTCCGTACTTTCTGAAAATTGCATTAGTAACTCGTTTATCAACCAGTTCAAAGCACAGTCTCTTTGAACATTTAATAATTTCTTCCTGAGTTTGTTGCAGACAGAACAGAGCTTTGTAAACTATTCTCCAAACAAATTCTTCTCTTAACAGAATAACGGAGTGGAAAGGGAGGTCTATTAGTCCAACCTCCCCCCACAAAGAGACCCTATACCATTCTGGACAAATGGCTGTCCAGTCTGTGGACAGAGGGCCCACAACTTCTGGTGGCAAGCAGTTCCACTGGTTAATTGTCCTCACTCTCAGGAAATTCCTCCTTAATTCCAAGCTGCTTCTCTCCTTGGTTAGTTTCCACCTGTTGTTTCTTGTTCCTGCCTTCTGGTGCTTTGGAGAATAGCTTGACTGCCTCTTCTTTGTGGCAGCCCCTTAGACACTGGAATACTGCTAACATGTCTCCTATATCAGGGGTCCCCAACCACCGGGCTGCGGACCGGTACCGGTCCGTGGAACATTTCCTACCGGGCTGCCGGTTTGCTGGGCGCCGCCATCTTGTTTGACGAGAAAGTGCTTCCGGGTGAGCTTTTCTGGTTGGAAACCAGCGTTTGGGTCCTGAAGGAATCCTTGCGCCTTAGTTTCATCGAAGGGGGGGGGGGCTTCAAATGAAACTAAGGTGCGAGGATTCTTTCAGCACCCAAGGTAAGGCGAGCCGAGTGACCGTCCCAAAGCCGTCCCGAAGCGAAGCCCATCGACAAAGGTACAAAGGAGAAGTTGAAGGTGGCGGGGAGAAGCGGGGGACAGCTGGCTGGCCGGTCGCTCGGCTCGCCTTGCCTTGTCATGCGTGCTGATGCCGGTACCGGGCCGCGGATCATTTTGTGATGCCGGTACCGGGCCGTGACACAAAAAAGGTTGGGGGCCACTGTCCTATATGATCCTTCTTTGATGACAACAAGCATCAAAGCCAGCTAGTCCTCTGTTCTTTCCCATCCCTGCCTCCACCAAGCTATCACACTGCAATGAACAAGGACATTCAATTTTCCAGCTACTAAGATTGTTAGACGAGCAAGGACAAAAACAGCCAGGATTCCTCGTCAGTCAACAGGAATGTTGATTTACCACCAACCCATCAAGTACTTAGGAGGCTTGGCAGCCCAAGCAAACAGCAGCCAATGACTTAATAGCCAGCCATCAACACCCCAAACGACAACTAGGAAGCCATGCCCGGCACCATATAAATACCACACACAGAGCACACAATTTGTCAGAGAGAAGATAGTTCCAGCATGAGTCAGAAAGCTTGTTGTGAGCCCTGAAGCCATCTTTAAGCCTCTTCAGGGTTGCCACTGCGAGGCTGGATGGGGCTGTGGGAAAGGGAAGGGGGAGTACAGATAGCTGGGGGAATATGTAGCCAAAATAACATTCTTTCTTCTGGGAACTAAGGACACTCCCACTGTTGTGCCCCGCCAGTGGCCAGCGGAACTGGCAGCAGATTTGGACAGTGAGAAGGTTGGGGAGGAACCTGGGCCAGTCCTGGAGTCTGGGGAAGGCTCGGACGAGGGCTCTGCGTCGGAGGCAAAGATGGAGCCAGGGCTGTCCGACATTTCCCAGCTGCCTATGGAGTCAGAGATCAGTGGGGCAGAAGAACAGCTGGAGCCTGTTCCCAGTGTGCTCATGCACAGAGCTGCCAGGAGAAGCTGCCAAGGGTCGACTCGGGAGTAAAGGCAGAGGTGGATGGTGAATGGCCCCTCCCAGAAGGAATAAAGAGGAGTGGGGTTTGCAGGAGACAATTAGTTCGATTCATTAGGGTGAAGATCTGTTCCTGACTTCTTGCCAACTAATTGCAGCTACAGTGTGGCATTTGGAAGATACTGGCCTGGCAACTCTCTAAGCCTAATAAAGGTCTGTAGTTGTGAACTCTCTTGAAAGACTGTTGGCCAGGACTTTGCTGGAGAGGAATTCCCTTTAACCTAAATAAAAGGGGTTTGATTGGGACGAGGAGTCGGCTTCGTGCTTTTGGGAAGCTTAGGTCACCAGCACCTGCAGGGGTCTGGAGGAGAATCACCAGGGAAGGGAAGTGTGACCTGATTGGAACGTGTTGGTTGTGTGTAACAAGGGGAAGAACTTTGGACTTTGTATTGGGTGGGAAAAACCCAGGGGACTTCAGAGTCGGGTTTTCACCAGCTGTGCCAATGTGACATGTGTCAACTCATAAAATATTTCTACGGTCTTTTTAGAGTTGCCAACAGAATGGGAGAGGGGAAAGGGGTTCGAAAAAGCAGTGCGGCTGCTTGGAAACCGAAAGTGCATTCCATAAATGTTTTCAAATATTGTAACTAGGCGACTGAAGTTTCTGCCCCACAAAGATCTAACTGGAGAGCGTGATTGGTGACTCTGGGCTATGGAAGGGTCTCATTGGAGAATATGAATTATGATACACCCAGGGGGGTGGGAGGGGGGGAAACCAGGGTCAAGGGTGACAGTGAATTATGAGTCTCGGCTGCACCCAGGCAGTGCCGGACATGTTAACTCCCAATAAATCCTTTTGAAGTTTTGGAAGTTTGGTTTGAGACTATTGATTTAATAAGGGTAATTGCCAGAATCCTGACAACATGCCCAATAAATATATACTTTGAAGCCTCTGGCCTTAGAGTTTTGATTCTGTTTGGGCTGTTACTTGGAACCAGGGGGTAAGATTCAGCCGGTTTGAACTGGTTCGGGAGAACTGGTAGTTCTGGTGATTAGTTGGCCTTGCCCACCCTTTCCTGCCCACAGTTTGTCCTTTATTTCTGTGTTTTGCAGCCTAGCTGATTCGCACGGCACAGCAAATTGCCGCGTCTCAGCTGTTGTGCTGACCAGGGGCATGGCACAACAACGCAGTCGGATAATCAGTAGGAGTCCCTTTATTAGTTCCAACTTTGCCCCCAATGTCCTGGTTACCTTCTGGCTTGGGGAAAACTCTCCCAGGAAAAACCTTTGGCCGCAGAGAATCAAGTCCAAAACTTGGTCAACACAAACTGTAAGTCCAATCAAGGCAAGATGAGGTAATTAATCCGGCAGGGCAAGAGGAGGAATTGCAGACGTAAAGGAATGGCAATAACTCAACACCGTTGGGAAGATGCCAGGAACGCAGATAACCAAAGTCAATACACAATAAATTCACGTTTGTTCCCGGCAAATGCTGCTCTCAGCATGCATCTCTTTTAAATTCTCTTTCCCAGGTGTGGCTAATGAAGGGAATCAGGGCCCTTTCCTCCCCCATAAGCCAGCAACCCATGTTGTTCCTTTCTCCATTCCTCCCTGCATACCCTAGGATGAAGAAGGGGTGGGCCTGGATCTTCCTCTGAACTCCCTCTCCCTTGTTCTCCTCTCCCCTGCTCTGCCCAGCTGGACTTTGCCCTTCCCCAGTTTCCTCCACAGCCAATGGAGACACACTACCACTCCCTGTCAGCTGTTCATCTTCCTCCTCGGATTTAGACTCCGACAAGGGCATGACAGCTGTTTTTCTCACTGGGACTGCAACAGAAGATAAGTTTTAGAGCTGCATATAGGTGGTTTTCAAATGCTGTGCGCACGCGCAAAGCAAACCGGTTGTTATACCAGTTGAATCCCACCACTGCTTGGAACTCAGACACTTGGAAGACAAAACCTCCGGTCCCAACAACTGACTCAGATTGGATTTTGCAACATTGTCCCGGGACACGTAGATTTGACCTTCATTTGTAAACTAACTTCCACCCACAACCAAGATGGCTGATCTGCCTTCACCTTATAGACGTCATGGGAGCCGATGATGGCATCGAAGAGGGTGTATAGATCATTGAGCAGATCAACCACCTCAATGGGGTCACTCATGGCCGAGATGGTGGTGAAGCCCACGATGTCGCTGAAATATAAGGTCACCTCTTCAAAATATTCGGGTTCCACTGGTGCCCCGGTCTTCAGGGCCTCAGCCACAGAACTGAAAGGATGACAAGCAGAAGGTCAGCTGAGCCTTGAAAATGCCAAATAAATGTTAGGCAATTTTGCCAAAAAATATTGCACTCTGGCAACCTAGCAGCTTCCAAAATTGCTTGATTAGAAGAATTCTTAGCCGGCATAGTGCATTTTTCAATAGATTGACATTAAGTTAAGAGTTAAGTTAAAACTTACGTTAAGTTAAAAATTACATTAAAAGTTAACTTAAAGGTTGTTAAGTTAAACGTTGTTAAGTTAAAAGTTACGTTAAGTTACGTTGTTAAAAGTTAAGTTGTTAAAAGTTAAGTTGAAAGTTAAATTAGTTAAGTTAAAAGTTAACTTAAAGGTTGTTAAGTTAAAAATTGTTAAGTTAAAAGTTACATTAAATTAAAAGTTAAGTTAGATGTTAAGTTAAAAGTTAAGAGTTAAAAGTTACGTTAAGCTAAAAGTTAAGTTGTTAAAAGTTAAGTTAAAAGTTAACTTAAAGGTGGTTAAGTTAAAAGTTGTTAAGTTAAAAGTTACGTTAAGTTAAAAGTTAAGTTAGATGTTAAGTTAAAAGTTAAGAGTTAAAAGTTACGTTAAGCTAAAAGTTAAGTTGTTAAAAGTTAAGTTAAAAGTTAACTTAAAGGTGGTTAAGTTAAAAGTTGTTAAGTTAAAAGTTACGTTAAGTTAAAAGTTAAGTTAGATGTTAAGTTAAAAGTTAAGAGTTAAAAGTTACGTTAAGTTAAAAGTTGTTAAAAGTTAAGCTAAAAGTTAAATTAAAAGAGGTTAAAAGTTAAGTTAAAAGTTAACTTCAGTGAAGTTAATAGGAAATCAAGGTCTGACTAACAGAATAACCACCCTCCTGGGTGAAGGTCTTTTGGATTTCGAGAGAGACTCACGGGGGCAGCATCTGTGTTAATAGCCTGTCAGTCTTCTGCTTCTCAACTTCCAATTCTTCGGTCCTTTCCCGGATTAAGTCTTCCAAATTGCTGGAATATTGTTCCAGCATACGTAGCATGGAGTCGATGATGTTAGTCTTCCTTCCTTTGTTGATGCTTTTGAACTGTGGGAGAAGAAAGGGAAGAGATCTAGAAGCCGACCCTGCTTTTATCTCTCAATATTAAATTATGTACATAATATATATTGAATATAGTAAAGGGAGATTAGATAACAACAAAATAACCGAGGTGGAAAGGACCTTGGAAGTCTTCTTGTCCAACACCCTGGTCAAGCCGGAGAACCTAGACCATTTCTGACAGATGGCTGTCCAATCTCGTCTAGAAAACCGCCAGTGTTGGAGCACCCACAACTTCTGGTGGCGGGCTGTTCCACCAGTTAATTGTCAACACTGTCAGGAAATTTCTCCTTATTTCTAAGTCGCTTCTCTCCTTGACGAGTTTCCATCCATTGCTTCTTGTCCTGCCTTCTTCGGGGGCTTTGGAGAATAACTTGACTTCCCCCTCTTCTTTGGGGCAGCCCCTCAAATATTGGAAGATTGCTATCATGTCAACCCCAAGTCCTTCTTTTCATTAAACAAGACAAGATGATAGGTAGGTAGGAAGGCAGGTAGGCAGACAGACTATCTATCAGACAGAGAGACAGAGATAGAGATAATAGATAGATCAGTGATGATATTCAGCCGGTTCACACCGGTTCATACGAACTGGTCCCAAGGATTTGGCATGGGTCATCGAACCTATAGTAACTTCTGGCTGGCCACGCCCCCTACCCAGTCGCCCAGTCGCCACTCACTTGCTTGCCCCATTGGCCTGATGCTCGCCTGCCCAGTCATTCCTTAAGATCTTTTTGACCTCCCGACAATCTGACGAACCCAATCCAGAAACCTGATGATGGCAGATGAGATTCTGCCGAAACGTTGCTACAACTTAACAATGGATGGAAAGTAAGAAAGGAGAGAAGCAACCTCGAACTAAAGAGATATTTCTTAACAATTTAATCGGTGGAACGGCCTACCACTAGGTTGTGGGTGCTCCATCACTGGTGGTTTTTAAGAAGAGACTGGACAGCCATTCGTCTGAAAGGGTATAGAGTGTCCTGCTTGAGCAGAGCGGTGGTCGGACTAGAAGACCTCTAAGGTACCTTCCTTCCAACTCTTGTTAGCCTGCATGCTGGCTCCTTCCCCCTCTGGCCACCACTCCTGGGCTCAAGTCACCTGTTCGAAGACTTGATTGATGTGGGGTCTCCTGTCCGGTTGTTCGCTCCAGCATTCCTTCATAAGCTGGATACACTCAACCGGCGCCTGGTCTATGGAGACAGAGGGGCGGCAAAGAGGAGGGGGTTTCTCCACCTTCTTGATGATCTCTGAGCAGACAAAGAGAAAAATGCTCCCGTTGGTTCTCATCTGGGTGTCCTCAGCACAAGTCCCATTGCCATCTTGGAGACCCCAACAAAGAAACAGCCCAATGCATATTAGGAATTGTGAAAAAAATATAGTATTTCTATCAAGCTAGTCCTTCAATTAGGATTATCACCATTTAATGACCTCATAATCCCTTGCTGGGTGGAGTCTGAATGGAGCTAGCACAGTGTTTACTGGCCAGATGCCCTTCCTGTCGCCAGGGCGGAGTTTTGTTCAGCAGATATATTCTCATTGTGCCTCTACCTAGGATCGAACTCACAGCCTCCTGATTGTGAGGCGAGAGCTCCACCTCTAGGCCACTGCACCGTTCCTGAATTATGGCTATCATGGGGACCGGAATTTCCTTTGCTACGCAAGCAAGATGCTGATTGAAGGAGTCGTGCCAGATTTTACGACCCTTTTTGTTTGGCCCGGGTTGTTAAGTGAATTGCCGCAGTTGTTAAGTGAATCAGGCAGCCATTAAGTGAATCCAGCTTCTCCTGTTGACTCGGTTTGTTGGAAGCTGGCTGGGAAGTTTTACCAAGGGCGGTCATGTGACTCCAAGACATTGCAACCATCCGAAATACAACACAACCGTTGCCAAGCGCCCGAATTGTGTGACTGACAGGGTGTTGTGATGGTTGTAAATACCTTCGGGGCTCATATCCAGCATACAATAAGGCGCATCGCGGCAGATGACTTCTTGAATGATGATGGAAATACTGTAAATGTCTCCCCAGAAGCTGCCTTTCCGTTCCAGCGCTGGATTCCTCAACAATTCTGGTGCGGTCCAGAAACGGTCTGGTGGAATAAATTGGGGGGGTTGGACTAGATGACCTCCCAGGTCCCTCCCAACTCTGTTGTTCTACTCATTCTGTTTTCTAAATGCAAACTGTTGTGCTCCAGCATACAACTTTATATACTGTGGTTGCCCTCTAGCCCCATCTAGTGGCCAGAGAGGCAAAATGTTCCGAGTATATTGTTTGAAGCTGATCCCACCCATTTACCCATCAGCCCGCATTCTCAAACCAAGTGCACGCTGGGAGGCCAGATTCCATTTTCTTTAGCATTTGGAGAAGGTGGGGAAGTACAAGGAAGCATCCACCTTAATCTGTGGCCCATGGTCATCCAAGGACAAACCCACAACCCACACATAGAGCATCGCTGGCGAGATTTAAATTGCTTGTATTTATTCATTGTTATGTTCAGCAGTAACCCAATACTGCCTATCTTGTATTTATCCTCATTGTATGTATCCTTGTTTTCCCCCAGTTTCACCATATCCTGTTCTTCCAATAAAGCATCCAAATCCACATACACGGTCTGTTTTATCGGAGGATAGATGGATTTAGCGGCATGTTGAGCTTCATACAGACTAACATGTAGTGGGGACAGAACATACACAAACCACCATAAAAGCAGTTGAACCAGCCAACCAAATTTTGGATCGTGTGGCCCCAGGGATGCCATAAACCATTGCAGGTTTGAAAAACGGTCCTGAGTGACTTTTCTGCAACTTCAAAGGGTCACTAAGCAAATTCTTGTAAGATGATATAGCCTAGAGATATTTTATCAGCCCATCTCATCCCCGTTTTTCTTCTACTGACCCTCTGGCTTCATCGGTTCTCGGACCACTTTCTGCGCCTCCAACAATTCGTTGTATCCATGATCCGTGACTTTCAGGACAAAACGGCCATCCACCACGCAATTCCGAGACTTCAGCCGGCCGTGGGGGAATTGCTGATGGTGCAGATACTTCATACCCTGGAAGAAAAAAGAAGAGGTCAAGTGGGTCTTAGGCATGTCGTAATGCAGGGAGTCCTCGTTGAATGACCCCAGTCAAGCACTGGTCACTTGAGTCCTTAAATGAAACAGAAGCACGATCCTTAGCTGTCATTACAGTTAGTGCTTGACGTACAACCACAAGGGAGCCCTAAATTTATGTTGCTAAGGGGAACCAACCGTTAAGTGAATTTTGTCCCATTCTATTACCTTTCTTGCCACGGTTGTTAAATGAATCACTGCCAATGTTAAATGAGTAACATGGCTGTAAAGTGAATCTGGCTTCCCCATTGTGACCCTGGGACACTGTATAACTATCATAAGTGCGAGTCAGTTGCCAAGCTTCTTGAACTTTGATATGTGGCCACGGAGAGGCTGCAATGGTGGCCTGTTGGACCCTCCGGCAACTGAATCAGAAAGGGAGGAGTAGGTGGGAGTCGGGTTCAGGATCAGGGCAACCTGAGATCTCTGAGGGGGAAGGGGGAATGGAGTTGGCAGAGAGAGAGAGAGAGAGAGGGAGGGAGGGAGAGAGGGAGGGAAGGAGGGAGGAAAGGAGAGAGAGAGAGAGTGGTGGAGCCTGAGCCGTCCATCAACCCTCAGATGGAGAATCAACAGCCTGAAGGTCTGGAGGTGGCTGATGAGGTAAAAGAGGAACAGCTGGTTCCAGTGCACATAGATGCACAGAAGGCAGAGGAGAGGAGAGCAGTGGAAATCTATGGGCTGGTCCTTGGGACGGAAAAGTCACTGCTGCTAGCGAAGCCCCACCCTAGATCTGCGGATAAAGGTAAGGACAGAGATGAACAAAATGTGGCAGACAACTAGTCCTCTCCCACACAGACGGACTTTTTAGCCTGCAGTGAGAGAGAAAATTTTTGGCTGGGGCTGCCGGAGGTCCTCATTTGATGTCACTTCAGAGGGTTTGTCGTATCTTGGGGGGCTGGGTCAGAACAAAGAGCTAGATCTCTTTCCCGGGCACCTTGATAAGGTCCAGCAATAAAGACGACTTGAACATCCAGTCCAGCTTCATGTCGCTGTTAAGGAGAAGATCTTCGAGACTCCCTCGCGTGCAATGCTCCGAGACCACAGCAAGAATCCCGGCGTCATGGAAGAAGCCCACAAAAAGGTTGACGTTTTCGTGCCGCAGGTCCCGCAGCTGAATAGGGGGAAGAATAAAAGGAGAATAAGAAGGGAGAGTCCTTCCTCAGCCAGGTATGGTGGGAGTGGCTAGAAAAGTTTCCTTGTTCCTTTGGTCAGAAGACCTTCTGGAGACCTTCAAGTCCTCGTCTCTATGTGCCTCTAATGACCTTTGTAGAAGATCTTCTCCATCTTAACCTCTTGTCTCTGTGTCCTTCTAATGACCTTGGTGGAAGACTTTCTCTGTCTTAAGGCCTTGTCCCTATATGCTTTGCAGAAGACCTTCTTCTCTGTCTTAAGCTCTTGTCCCTACTTCTTCCTAACTACCATTGCAGAAGACCTCGCTCTACCTGCTTCTAATTACCATTGTCCTATAGCAACCCATGTTTAATTTCATGTCTGTATAACTGAACCTCAGTCTGTTACTTAAAGAGTCTTAAGGCTTCCCTGATGGCCCTGTGATTGGAGTAGCGCCTCCCCACTTACTACAACACTGTCCAAGAAACCAAGAAAGACGCACAGAGTTACTTCTAACCAGTTCCCTTCTTTGTTCCTCAACGATAGACAGAAATCTAGCTAACCTGAAGGAACTGCTTGCATTTGTTAAAGATGGATTTTGAGAACTTCTATCTCGATTCTTCCTCCCTAAACAAGCTATCTAAACTTTGCTCTCTCTTGGTCCTCTAGAACGCGGCCCCTCCCTCCCAGGAATCCAGACTATGTTCCACCGCAGTCTGGGAGCAGCCTTAAGGTGAAATAAAAATCTTGGTGGCCTCATCAGGGCTTCTCTCGGAAGAGAACAGAGGCCGCCAAGGGATGGTGGTTGAAATTCTACTGGCCCGAGGATGGTGAGGAGAAGGCCCCAACTTAGTGGTGTGGCAAAGGCCCCAAACCGGGGCAATTCTGCACCCCTTGTGTCAACTAAAAAAAATATTTCTTTGGTCTTTTTAGTTGCCAGAAGAAAAGGAGTGCAGGAAAGCAGTGCATTCCTTAAATGCTTCAGATAATCACCTTGGCAGTCGAAGCTGTTGGCACGCAAGATTATTACTGGAGAGCACGATTCAAAATTTTTTGCAAAGGGTTCTCTGCTGGGTTGCTGGGTGGGCATGACCATGGTGGGTGTGGCCTAGTCAGCCTCCTGCACCATGGCAGGGGTGGGGGGCAGTTTTGCCCTCCCCGGACTCCAGAGGCTTTCCTGGAGCCTCCGGGAAGGCGAAAATGGCCTCTCCGGGCTCCAGGGGCTCTCTGGAAACCGAAAATGGGCCCAAACTTCCAGTTCAGCCTGTTTTTTTGTCCTTCCCGAGCCTCCATGTGGGTCCTCTGCTTACCTGCATCCAAAACGGGCCACGTGGGGACTGCTGGGAGGGGTGAGGTGGGCCAGGGGTGGGATTTAGGGGTTCTCCAAACTGCACAGAATCTTAGCTAGGTATCAACTCATAAAATATTTCTCTGGTCTTTTTAGAATTGCCAACAGAAAGTAAGGGGGGGGGGGGGGACAATGTGGCAGCTTGCAAACCGAAACTGCATTCTATAAATGTTTTCAAAGATAATAGCTAGGTGACTGAAGTTTCTTGCCGAGCAAAGATCTAACTGGAGAGCGTGATTGATGACTCTGGGCTATGGATGTGTCCAATTGGAGAATATGAATGATGATACACCCGGGGGTGTGGGGAAGGGAAAACAGGGTGAAGGGTGACAAGGAATGATGTGTCTCAGTGTTGGTTGCACCCAGGCAGTGCTGGCATGTTAACTCCCAATAAATCCTTTTGAGGTTTTAGAAGTTTGGCTCGAGACTCGTGATTTAATTGGGGTAACTGTCGGAATCCTGACACTGGGGGGGGGGTCTCTCAAACCCCTGCGAATCCCTGAGTGTTGGGAAGGGGAGACAGGTCCCGGAGGCAGAGTAAAGAAAGGAATTAGCGTGGAGTCATTACATTCCCGTAAGCGGTTCAAGCACTCTTGAATTCTATTAACTCTTAATTAGGGTCAACTTACTGCTGACTATTAGCTGATTAGATCCTTGTGTATAAACATGAGCCATAAATCAGCTTAACTGGAATTTAATGTGATCCTTCACATTCACCATGCTACCTCTTGGCAGAAATTTCTGGGCCAACGAGCCAGAACAGGGTGAAAATACACGTTAGTCCTTGACTTACGACCTGCAGTCGAGTTCCACCTTTCCCCTGCTAAGCGAGACCATCGTTAAGTGAATTTTGCCCCATCTTACCACCTTCCTTGCTGCCGTTGTTCAGTGAGTCATGGCCATTGTCAAGCGAGTAATGTGGTTGTTAAGTGAGTGATAACAGATAAAGATAATCAGAGTTGAAAGAGACCTTGTAGGTCATCTAGTCCAACCCTCTGCCCAACCGGGAGACTCTACACCATTTCTGACAAATGGCAGTCCAATCTCTTCTTGAAAGTCTCAACTGATGGAGCTCCCACAACTTCCGAAGGCAACTTCTGTTCCATTGGTTCTCCCTGTCAGAAAGTTTCTCCTTATTTCCAGGTTGAATCTCTCCTTGATCAGTTTCCATCGATTATTCCTTGTCTGGCCTTCAGGTGCTTTAGAAAATAGCTTAACCCCCTTCCTCCTCTCTGGGGCAGCCCCTCAAATATTGGAAGGCTGCTCTCCTGTCTCCCCTGGTCCTTCTCTTCCCTAGACTAGCCAGGCCCAGTTCCTGTAAACGTTCTTCATATGTTTTAGTCTCCAGTCCCTTCGTCATCCTGGTTGCTCTTCTCTGTACTTTTTCTAGAGTCTCAACATCTTTTTTGTAATGTGAACAGAACTGGATGCAGTACTCTAGGTGTGGTCTTACTAAGGCTTTATAGAGTGGTATTAGTACCTCCCTAGATCTTGATTGTATCCCTCTGTTAATGCAATTTAGGATTGCATTAGCTTTTTTGGCTGCCGCTGCACACGGCTGGCTCCTATTTAGCTGGTTGTCCACTGAGACTCCAAGATCCCTCTCCCAGTTCCTGCTACTGAGCCTGGTTTCACCCAGTCTGTATGTGTCCTTTTGGCTTTTCTTGCCTAAGTGTAGGACTTTACTTTTCTCTGCAGTGAATTTCATTTTGTTAGATACGGCCCAGGGTTCGAGTCTGTCGAGATCCCTCTGGATCTTGAGCCGATCTTCTTGGGTGTTGGCTATTCCTGCCAGCTATTGATCCCCATTGATTTTGCTCGTTCAACGGTTGCAAAAGGAGACGCGACGACCGTCATAAATGCGAGCCTGTTGCCAAGCACCTGAGTTTCGCTCACATGAGCACGGGGATGCTGCAATGGTTATAAGTGTGGGAAAGGGTCATAAATCCATTTTTTTTCAGCAAATGGTCCCTCGATGAAGTGTTGTAAGTCGTGGACTGCCCGTTTGGGGAGCGGCTGAAGAAGCCACTTTGACCCATCAACCAGGAATGGTCATCTCTCATGTCCTTCCCCATCCCTGGCCCCCTAACGGTAGAGAGTCCCCTCTTTGAGTGGTGGGCTGGACTAGATGACCTCCAAGATCCCTTCCAACTCTTGTGATTCTGTTCTTCTATTAGATAGGGCTCACTTTATAACTTGAGTAGCGCAGTGGCCTAAAGGGGGAGCTCTGGCCTCACAATCAGGCACCTGTCAGCTCGATCCGAGGCAGAGATGCTTCTCTTTCTGGACACAATGAGAATTTATCAGCTGAACAAAAGTCCACACCGGCGACAGGAAGGGCATCCGGCCAATAAAATGCTCAGCTCTGTTCAGTTGCCCAGACAGTTGCCCCAATGCAAGGGATTATTATGGGGGTCACTAAAAGAGTTTAGGCCTCAAAAAAGAGTGACGGACTAATTTTTGCAGGAAAGCTCTTCAGAACTCACCTGGCAAAAAACCTTTTCGGTGCTTGGTTTGACTTCAGTGTACTTTCCTCCAGGGAATCTTTTCAGCCACACCCAGTCACCCTAAAGGTGGGGGAGGGGAAGACAAAGAAGGACAGACGTGGTGACCCTCGACTATCTCGAAGGGTCAAAAGAAGGCAGAAGGAAAGAGACACCTGCCCCGTGTCAGTGCTAGCTGTTGGTTAGCCTAACCAAGCAATTCCATAGAGACATTAGATACGTATACATACATTAGACATAGATGATAGGTAGGTAGGTAGGTGGGTAGATGGATGGATAGATAGATAGATAGATAGATAGATAGATAGATAGATAGATAGATA